ACACCACCACAGACGATAGTCACTTTGGGGTGTGTTCCAGGCCCAGCCCTGGGTGTGTCCCGCAGGGTCTCAGTCTCCGGCTCTGAGCTCTGTCCTCTCAACTCTCTTCTGCCATCTGCTCGTCCAGGCAGGCATCTTGTTTACGGGAGGCTGACGTTAGGACAAAACGCGTCTGCCTTTTGCTTTCAGGTTGGGTTGGAGTCAAGGAAGCAGAGGAGAGTTAAAGCTGTTTAAAAAAATTATTGGCAAATGAGGCAGCCGGACTAGTTTTCACCAGAACAATTCCAGCTATTGTTTGCTCTGTTTGGGATCTGTCAGCCTTCCTGATAGAGCTTGGAGTTAGCAAAAGGCATTAAGCTATTATGTTTAACCATTGGGCTTAACCCTTTATGTGGCCAGCTTTGGAACTTGTTGCTGGAGTTCTGAGTCTCTGGCTGTTTCTCCTTCACTCTCTGTGTTTGACACCAGCTCGTGGGGCACGAATGCTACATAACGCTTGTAGAAAACCAAAGGGATTTGTATCTAGTGGGACATAAATAATGTCATAAGAAATTTGCCTTTGAGCAAATCCAGGCTTCCTTGGATAATTATTGTTGTCACTAAGACAAGAACATTTCACTTGCATGCTGGTTATGAAGCTGGAACAATCCCGAGAAAAGTACCACCAAGGGTCTGGGCTCCCATGCCAAAACTGGATAGCAGCGAACACACCCTCCATCACCCAGGCACTTTGGAGCATCCGCATCAACTGCCCTGGGCTCTTTGAGAGTCTGAGAAAATTTATTGAGCCGTGTTCAAAGACGGTTGTCCTTTTCTTTTGGGGTAGAGGCACATGCCATCGTAAGACTGTCCTCATTTCAGGGCCAGCAGCGATAGGGAGGGGCCTTGGCTGCCGTTTGAGTAAGGAGCAAGTCTGAATACCAGCCCCACTGCTTCGCAGCAGAATGATCTTGGGCAAACTGTGTGATCTTTCTGAGCCTCGATTTTCTCATCTGTCAAATGGGGGCATAATAACGACCCACTTCATAGGGTGCTTACTGCAAGGATTGAAGGAGGCGATGGAATGTGAGGTGCTGGCACACTGTGGGGGCATGGCAGACGATTACACTTACCGTTCCATTGTTATTCTCCTCTGAATCAAGTAACCACAGTGAATTCAAATTCCTGTTTTCAAACTGGCAGCCCACAGCCAAGTCTGGCCCTCGGGTATGCCTTTGTTTGGTTTACACCATGTTTTAACTAAGAGTGAATTTGTAAAGACTGGGAGAGCTCATATAAAACTCTGGATGTCTGGTTTCTCTTGAAATGTTGAACACTTTAGCAGTGCTGGTCCCACATTCCTGCCTGGCTGCCACTGGTGGGAGCGGAAGGGCAGCTGTCCCTTAGATAAGTCCCTGCCCTTTCTTTTGTCCTTAATTTTTGTGAGCACACTGAACACTGTGTGCCAGGCACTGTTCCAAGCAATATAAACCTAGATTCATCTCCTCTTCCTCCTCCTCCAGCGCCATCCGAGCAAGCACTGGGCACTTGCTATGTGCCAGGCGTTAATGAATTAACTCATTTAATCCTCACAACTCTGAAAAGTGGGCACTGTTAAAACTCCATCTTACAGATGAGGAAACTGAGGCACAGAGAGGTTAAGTAGCTTGATTGAGATGGCACAGATTATTAATAGCCAAAATTTGTTTCTTTCTTTGTTTGGTTTTTGGTTTTGTTTTTTACATTCCTTTTTTTTTTTTAATGCAACATAATTGATTGTACATATCTCTGGGGGTACGGAGTTGCATATCAATCCTGTACGCAATATATATCATGTTGATGCTCAAATTGGGCTAATTTAGTACCTTCAACATTGTACAATGTAATAGTTTTTCATTGATAGCCAAAATTTGAACCTGGGAAGTCTGACCCCAAAGTCTATTCTCATCAGCACACTGTACTGTTTCTCATTTCATTATTACACCCATATTAGGCTATAAGCCCATTTTAGAGATGTGGAAGCTGAGGCATGGGGGAGTTAAATAACCAACTTAAAGTTACACAACTAGTGATAGGGCCAGGAATCAAACCCAAGCACTTCTAAACCACTTCTCTATCACTTTCTGCCAAGCACCAAGAGTCTCCAGACACATTGTTCCAAACACTAGGGAGACAGCACAGAAAACCCCGTCCTCATGGGGTCTGCACTAGGGTGCTGGGAAGGCAAAAGGTTGATGATAACAATAAAGAAGCAAAGCGTACAGCATGTCAGATGTCATTACATACTATGGAGGAAAAGAAAGGGAAGGAGGAGAAGGGATGCAAGGATGGAAGGTTGCAGTTTTTATCAGCATGGCTGGGAAAGAGGTCAATGGGAAGGTAATGCTCAGTAAAGACCAGAAGTAGGTGAGGGAGGTGCTACACGGCCACGTGGAACGAGAGCCTTGGGAGGTATCAGCTCGTGCAAAGGCCCTGAGGCAGTGGTGCATGCAGAGCACTGAGGAGTGATAAGGAGGCTGGCGTGGCTGGAGCCAAGTGAACAAGGGGGCGGTGGAGGCAGATGAGGTCAGACCATGCAGGGCTTCCTGAGCCACTGGAGGGACTTTGGCTTCCACCTGAATGAGAGGGGAGCCGTGGGAGGGTTTTGAGCAGAGGAGGGACGATCTGACCTGCATATTGACACAGTCCCTCAGGCTACACATAAGAACAGACTGGGTAGAGGGCAGAACGAGAGCCAGGAAACCAGCAAGGAGGGTATGACAATAATTCAGATGAGAGGTGCTGGTGGCTTGGATTGGGGAGGCAGCTATGGGGGTGGAGAGAAGGGGTCGGATTCTGGATTAGCTTTGAGGATGGAACCCACAGAACACCCAGCCACTCTGTTCCATGTCCTGTTTTATTTTCTTCATATTCCTACTCTCTATCCAAAGTTGTTTATTTGTTCCCTTGTCATCTGTCATACCCACTAGAATGTAAATTCTCTGAGGGCTGACCTTGCCCACTTTAGTCGCCAGGGTGTCCCCACTGCTGAGAACAGTCCATAAGAAATACCAGTTGACTGAGTGAAGTAGAAAAGGCAGAGCCCTGTAGGACTCAAGGACTGACTGATGAACGGTGCCACCCTCCGCGAGCCCGCGCGACATCACGCCCCACAGCCTCTGCACGTGCTGTGCCCCCTGCCTGGAGTGCCCTTTCTGTCCTCTTTTTTTTTTTTAAAGATAAATCAATTTCTAGTCACCAGGTAATATATCAATGCACAATCCTTATAAAAATTTGAAATATTAGGTGAAATTCTCCTTTGCCGCATCCACCCAATCTTAGTCTTTTCTTCCCTTCCCCAGAAGTAACCACAGTTGTCATGTTTTGTGTGTACATCATATAAGGCCTTTTTCTATGCAATTACATATGTGTAAATGCATATTTATATAATTTACGTACATATATTTATGGATATATATTTACAAATGTGTATTTACTATAGAAATTATAGTATTGCTGGAAAAATTTTTGAAACACAAAAGCTAACATACCGTTTGCATTTTCTTTTTTTTTTTTTAAGATGACTGGTAAGGGGATCTTAACCCTTGACTTGGTGTTGTCAGCACCACGCTCTCCCAAGTGAGCTAACCGGCCATCCCTATATAGGGATCCGAACCCGTGGCCTTGCTGTTATCAGCATCACACTCTCCCAAGTGAACCACGGGCCGGCCCTACTGTTTGCATTTTCTGTAACTTGCTTTGTTCACTCAAGATAGATGTAATGATCTACTTTTTTTTTTTTTTAACTATATTGTATACCAAAGACTGACCATGCGCCCATTCATTGAGCCATTCCCCTGTGGATGAACGCTTAGGTGATTTTTAATTTTTTTGTTCTTCTATGCAATGCTACAAGGAGTATTGCCATGCAAGCTGCTGCCTGAACACATGCACCGTTTCTTTAGGGAGGATGCGGAGAGGGGCATTGGGCGCCCTCCCTTCCTGTCTGCCTTCCAAATTCCCACTCATTCATCTTCTCTTCTGCCTCCCTGTGAAACTTCCTGAGTCCTCTCCAACAGGGAGATTCAGTAGCTTCTCATTCATTCCTTCATTCACCCAATTGTATATTCAGCAAATTGTTTGATGTGCCTACTGCGTATGAGGTTTTGGGAATCTGGTGGAGAACTGCCGGTCCTCGGGGACTTTGCACCCTGACAGTCACTCTGCTGCCAGGAGCACTTTTTGCATCTCCCTGTGGTCACTGCACAGCACATCATAGGGGTCTG